CAGCTGTTCCCCCATCGTAATGCAAGCATGCCCTCGCATTAGCGATGGGGAAATCCACATCCCAATGCGGATTCATCGTTCAACGGGGCGCTCGTTATACGAGGCACCACTGTACTTACACTTTTTGAAACTACATACATTCCTGTAGCGTTCAGCCCTGCCCTCACCTGTCCGTCACAGCTGAACAGTCGAAAAGGAGCCAATGAGGGAATGGAAGGTGGTGCTAAAGGGGGAGGGGCTGGGATATAAAGGTGTGTATGGAGTATGTGGGGGGAGTTCTGTGAGTCTGAGGGACAGTGTGCCAGAAAGTCAGTGAGAGTTAGGATCTGTGTGTTAGTGAGTTCAGTGAGTGAGAGAAATTGATTATCAACTTGTGATTTACTTATTATATTTTACTGATCAAATAAACAAGTTTAAGTTTCAAAGTAACACTGGTCTCACTGAGTAATTGGTATTGAAATAGAAATACTGTACTGGTGGCAGCAACCGAGTAGAAGAGTGAGCACTTCCTGGAGGCCTGAGATAATAGAGGCTTCAGCGGGCTCGCATCATAAACTGGTGTCCAGTGTGTGGGATGCGAATTTAATCCAGTAAAGCCTTGGAACACAAAGGTGCCCAGAGCATAAAAAGATTTTTAGTCAGGGAATCTGAGTGGAAGAGTGGGTAACTTCCTAGGACTTCTTCAAGGGGAGGAAGTCTAGTGGGAAGGCTCTGATTGGGGTGGCTAAGATAGGGACAGGCTCTGTGGAAACCATTCCTGGAAAGAGTTACCCCAAGCAGAATATGTGACTGGTTGGCTAGCTTGTCCTGAGCTCAAGGGATAGAGTTCTGAGGGGACAAAGCGAAGGCCAAGGGCAGATAAGCTGAGGGGGCTCAAGTCAGCTAAAATTGTGAAAGGTTGAGGCTGTTATTGAGGATTATTTGGTGCCTGAGGCAGGGAAGAAAACTCTGTCTTTGGTGAAAGGCCTGGCTGGAAGACAGAGGCCTAGACACAGTAGCTTTCCAGTGGATGAGTGCTGGGGAAGCAACTATATAACACAGACTCTCACTGAAGGAAAAAAGTGTACTTTTTAAATTTGAGGCTTGAAAACTGAATAAAAAGCCTGAATAAAGAAACATGCCTTCCACAAGAGGAAAGAAAACTGAAAAAGTGCCGATTGAGTTGGCAGTTGGCTCTGATAAAGAAAATGGGGATTCTGAGGAAGAAATTACCTCAGATCGAGAAATGGAGACCTCAAGGGGGGTTGACTTTATCGAATTCAGAAAGTGGAAATTGGTGCAAGAACAGGAATTCAGGTTGAAACAAATGGAGATAGAAAAAGAAATTAAACAGCTAGAAAATAAGACCAGATCTGAGGAAAGAGAGCAAGAAATTAGACAGAGAGAAATGGAGCTAGAAATGAAGGCCAGATCTGAGGTAAGAGAACTCGAAAAGGAGAGAATGGCATTTGAAAATAGGAGGCTAGAGCTGGCAGCTCAAGCTAATAATAACAACAACAACGATGGCCGATCTAATTCTGAGGAGAGACATCTGTCCAAGGCAGACCTTAAAAGATTCCCAGTATTTAGAAAGGGGGATGACCCTGAATCATTTATGGTTATGTTTGAGCGAGCGTGTGAGGATTCTGAAGTGAGGGGATCTGAACGCATGATGGTGATGAGGTCTCAAATTAGTGGAGGCCTAGCGGATATTTACGCAGAGATGCCAGTGGAATTAATAAATGATTATGATGAGTTTAAAAAGTTAGTTTTTGCTCGATATGGCATCAATGCTAAGCATTTGAGACAGAAGTTCAGGGCTCTGACAAAGAAACCTGAAGAGTCTTATTCTCAGTTAGGGGTAATCTTGACCAGATATCTAGACAAATGGCTCCAACAGGAGTTGAAACAGTACAGGATATTAAAAACATCATTGGCCTTGAGCAGTTTTATTCACTCCTACCTGGAGAACTGAGGTATCTAGTAAGGGACAAGAAACCCAGAAATCTGCAAGAGGCGGGACAGGCCGCTGATTTTATTTCCCAGATTAGAAAACCAAGCTTTTCTGAGGGAAAAGTTGTGAGGAAAGTGTGGGAGGACACAAATAAAAATCCCAGAGGGCAGTTTAAGAACCAACAGGAGGTTGGAGGCCATTTTGTAGGCAAGCCCTCAGATCATAACCAGATCAGCAACCAGAATTTGGAGGGAAAAGGAGTTAAGAGCTCTGGTAATGATCAAATGAACTTTAGAACTTGCTTTCAGTGTGGGGAAAGGCCCACATTTAAACCCAGTGTGGTAAAAACAGAGAAGTTAGGCCACAAAAAGGAAAATTGCCTAAGCCTAAAGCTATATACTGTGTGCAGCAGGACCAAGTTACCACTCAGAGGGAGGAGTTAGATGCCATGGCAACCCAGGCTGAGCTCCCTACACAAGCTGAAAACAGAGAACCAGATCTTCCTGTGGCAGAAATTCAGCATTGTTACCTGATTAAAACGAACTAAGAGCTGTTTAAAAGGTCTGGCGACAATATTTATGTTAATAACAATAAATATATGGCTCTGAAGGACTCTTGCTCTCAAGTAACCTTACGTCATCCTGATATTGTCCCTCAGGAATACATTTTGAAAGGGGAAAGTATGATTGTTAAAGGGATTGGAGAAGCAGCTGTTATTCTGCCAATCTCTGAAATACCCATCAGAGATCAAGGGTGGGAAGGAAAATGGAGGGCTGGTGTATCTGCACAATTGCCAGCGGCGGTTTTGATTGGGACAGACCTCTGAACATGTGAAGAGAGTTTTAGTACTGACTCGTTCCCAAAAGAAAAATGAAGGGACAGCTGAGGAAGAAAATGAAAGTCCTATGGAGACAATGACAGACAATAGGGCCCCAGCTGAGTTAATACAGTTTAGTAATCACCAAAGCAATACATTTGCTCAGGAACAAAAGGCAGATTCCATGCTGAAACGCTGCTTTCAGAACATTTCTGAAGAACCATTAACCCCTGAAAGACCGGAAATGTTCCTTATAGAGAAGGACCTATTGTACAGAGTTCTTAGTGAATCCCAGGAAGGGAGGGGAAAATCTTCAGAAGCAGTTAGTGGTTGCTTTAAAATATCGTCAGAAAATAATAGAAAGGGGACACTCAGACGTATTTTCTGCTCATTTAGGCATTACTAAAACTAAACAAAGAATATCACAGAATTTTTACTGGCCTGTGATGAAGGAAGCAGACAATGAGAAACTTGACTTACCATATTGGGAAGGAAGGGGGAAAGTAAAATATAACCCTGAAGATGTCCGAGTTAGTCCTTTACTTTCCCCTGAGCAACAAAACGAAGTGAGGGCCTTGGTAATTAAATACCAACAAGTCTTCTCTAGCAAACCAGGGTTAGCCAAGGGAGTGGTGCACAAGATTGATACAGGGGATGCACCCCCACAAGCGGTTACTCCTTATAGAGTTTCTGGGCCATATGTCGATAAGGTGTGCAAGGAGCTGGACGAAATGTTGAAGGAAAACATCATTGTTCCTTCATCCAGTCCATGGGCAGTCCATGGGCTGCTTCTATAGTGTTGGTAGACAAGCCGGATGGCAGCATTCAATTTTGTGTGGACTACAGGAAGCTAAACCATGTAACCAAGCCGGATGCATATCCGATGCCCAGATTCGACAACCTAATAGAGACCATAGGGGGATGTCAATACATATCCTGCCTAGATCTAAGGAAAGGGTTTTGGCAAGTGAGAATAGACCCCAAAGATCAGGAGAAGACAGCCTTCTGTAGCCCTTTTGGTTTATATGAGTTCCGTGTCCTGAGTTTTGGATTGAGAAACTCACCAGCAACATTCCAAAGACTCATGGACAAAACTCTGCAAGGGCTTAGCGACTTCACAGTGGCTAACATTGATGATATAGGGATCTTTAGTCATTCCTGGAAAGATCACCTGTATCACCTGGAGACAGTGCTGCAGAGAGTGAGAGCAGCTGGGCTAACAGTGAAAGCTAGCAAATGCCAGCTGGGTAGCCCCGAACTGAAATATTTAGGCCATATAGTAGGGGGAGGTAGAATCAAACCCCTAGAAGCCAAAATTGAAGCTATTAGCAACTGGCCTAGACCCACCACCAAGAAAAAGGTCAGATCTTTTTGAGGGTTAGTTGGCTATTATAGACGGTTTATACCCAGATTTAGCGAGATAGCTGCTCCCTTATCTGACCTAACACGCAAGAAGAGTGCAGATAGTATCCAGTGGACCAGCAGCTGCGAGGAGGCATTCGCGAAGCTGAAGGAGGCGTTGATGACCAACCCAGTCTTAAGAGCTCCGGATTTCCAGCGCGAGTT